GGAGATTTGTCGGTTAATCCATTTGCATCCAATTTGTCTAAATTGGTGGGGAAGAATCGAACATAAAGCTTAGTGTAAACACACGCTTTAGAATTTATTTTATGCAACTTTCATCGTACCGTTTTCATTATCTTCTTGTTCAAGTTTTATAGTAGACCCTCAAAAAGATTCTAACAATCTTTAGGTTCGGTTTAAGCATCAAAAAATAAACTATTGCGCCGTTGACACATTTTGAATACAAGAAGAATCACTATCATAAATCTAGAGATACATTCTTATTATTTCTCATAAAAACTAAAACACCGCGAAAAATCGTAATATCAAGATCAAATATAAAAGTTCTAACAGTTGATATCAAAGTTTTAATTATTTATATTGTGATTTTTCTCGGTAATGATTAATTGATATGAATTACAATATAATTTTAATATTAGCATTAATTTATATGTTTGCCTAGAATTGTTTTGAAATTTCAAAATAGTTGTGTCAACAAAGAAAAAATCGAAACAGTAGATGAATTTCTTTTCAAATATATTGGTTTTGTTTGCGTTAAATAATTAATAAAGTTGCACTAATATGTATTTCTATGATCTGTGTGAGCAAGTGTATGGCATTGATAATTAATTTTTGAAGTATATTATTATAAGAAAAAATAGTGGTAGTATTTCTACGATGGGTTAATTGTATTTGTAATTCAAAATCTTTCAATATATACATGCATACTGTGAGAGAGGATATGAACATTCATTATATATGGTAATCGTATAAGGTTTTGAATGTCTTTATCATGAACTATTGTCTTGCTTTTGAAAAAAAATTTATGAAGCGATGCTTTGTTTCATGAATATAATCCAAGATTGTAGCATGACGTTGTATTATGAAGAGATGTCTGCTTAATATTTTATTGGGAAGCGTTGTTTTTGAATATTTTAATAATAAAGAATGAATGTATATATTATGTAATAAATCCATCATATATATATATATATATATATATATATATATATATATATATATATATATATATATATATATATATATATATATATATATATATATATATATATATATATATATATATATATATATATATATAGTAACAATTGAAAGCAATTATGTGCTTTGGCACTGTGTTAAAAAAAATTAAATCAATTTATATATGTATTGATTTTGTATCTATCTCATGAGTTTCTTAAATAAATCCGGAAGGTTCTCCAAGGATGGTTAAAAACACAAATTAAAATGAAGATTACAAATTTAAAAGATTAATAAAATGAAGATTGTCATACAATTCGTGTATATGACAAAAGTGAATGACAAAAGTGTCATGGTGATAGTTTGTCAAACTTATCAAGAATATATAATGTATTTTTTATATGATAAATGCACTAATATTATAAAGGTGTCATAGTTTGATGATTGTTGGTAAATGCTATCAAGAGTATATAAAGTAATCATAGACATGACTATTTGAAAGATTGAATATTCAAAGTTTATTAAAATTTGAAAAGTCTTACAATTCTTTGACGAAAAGATTGACAATGATATGATGTCTTTAGATATAACTGAGGAATATATCATTAAGGAATGAGAAACAAACTCATATCTAATTAATCATCAATAGTGAAAATTCAACTCACACTTAATTAATGTTAAGTCTTGAGTTCAATGATGAAAGTATATTACTAAAGTGATTGAAGTACTTTACAATAAATACATCCCAAGAAGTAAAAGTACTTGGACCATAAGAATAAATATGGTAGAATGAGGTTTTCTCTTAATAGACATATAACATATGTTTGCTAGAATGCATAATTATGGGTGCATTTCTGATATAGTTTACCTATATGGGAATGAAGTGGTGTCTCTTCAAAGAGTTCAATGGTTTGACTATTAAATTCTCATGAAAAGGATATGAGACACAAGACCATATTAAATGTGTCATATTAATAATTCGATCAATAGTACCGAGATTTCATGCGTGAGTTATGTACACTTGTTTTAATTAATAAATGGTTCAAAGTTTGTCCACCAATCTATTCGGGGATGAGTAAAAACTTAACTTACTAATTAATTGTTCAAATTGTAAGATACCTTTATCCGAAACTATGAAATTTCCAGAATAATGGATTTAGATATATTTTGAAAATGGTGGAAGATTATTGGTGAAATTTCTAAAATATATTTGGAAAGTTGCAAGGGTTAAAAAAAGACCTTTTAGAGAAAAAAGTGTTATACTTTACAATTGAAGCAATGTAATCATTCATGAACAAAATCTTTTAAAGAGTTGTTTCCCTTCACCTAAGAACATAAGTTTCTCTATAAATAGAGACATTTGTTAGCCATTGAAAAGACACGAAAATAGTATATTTTAAGTACCAAAAAACATATCTACATCATTCGTTTATTTTCCTAGTGCACGAGAATAAATAAGAGAACTTTATTCTGTAAAATATCGTTGATCGATATGCTTAATATGAATGTGTGATTCATGTTAAGGTTTCTAAAGTATCCTGAAGCGATTTGCCAGTTATTCCATTTGCATCCAATTTTCCTAAATTGGCGGTGGCGAATCGAACTTAAAGCTTAATGTAAATACACGCTTTAGAATTTATTTTGTGCAACTTTCATCGTACCGTTTTCATCATCTTCTTGTTCAAATTTTACAGTAGACCCTCAAAAAGGTTCTAACAATAAAAACATAATTAAATTAATATTATTAGTGTGCCTAAGATATTACATATTTATATTTATGTAAGATAAAAATGAAAGATTAAGTTGAATATAACATGAAACCTATAAAGAATTGAACTAAAGAAGTATTTTTCACAACTGAAATTTATTATCAAGCATATACTAAAACATTTCACAAACAACCCAAAATGCCCTTCACTCCAAATATTTTTACACTACACAATGCCCAAAACCATAAATCACAAATTCAACCACACAAACTTCTTTCTTTTCTCATTTCTTTCTACAAGTGTTGGAATCTCATTGGACATAATAAATTTAATATTTCCCTGCATCAAAGCCACCTTTTTCCGAAATAAGGCCTCACATTATACCACCTACTCCAACCTGTTTCTCTCTCAAGGTAATCGCAGATTACTCATTCTCCTCTTGTTCTCAAGACTTCCATCTTCCACTTGCTACCAAGTCAATTTCGAAATCATCTATATTTCATTTCGTGTGCCTTATCATTTTTAAATCAATGTTGCTCATATGTTTATCATGCTCTGTTTCCTCAAAATGTCGCGGATTAGTTGTGAAAATCATCATTTGGTTCATGGCATTTGTACCTGTTCTTTTTACTTAGATTTTCTTTCATAAAAATCATAACTTTTCCTTATTTGTGGTCTTCTGCGTTTGTGTTATTATATTCGGTTTTTTACTTTATTTTTTTTCTTTTTGTGTCAAGCAAATACATTTTCAATTATGAAGTTTTTCCTTTTTTTGTAAACCTCTTACGGTTTGTTTTCATGACATATAGATCCAAACTTTATGACATATCCATATATTAATATTGTTGCATTTGACAGTTCCTGCAACTAATTATGTCAAAGGCTCTCATTCTCATTAAGGATCTGGTCAAAGGAAACCAGGTGTGGAAGATGCATATCAGGGTTGTTGTCCTCTGGGTTGTTAAGGAGAAGACAAACCACCAACACCTTTAAATGGTCATACAAGATGGACATGTATGGAAATTGTATGCACTGTGACATTTATGTTTTATAGTTGTGAAAATCATCATTTGATTCATTTCATTTGTAGCTGTTCTTTTTTACTTAGGTTTTCTTTCATAAAAATCATAATTTTTCCTTATTTATGTTCTTCTGCGTTTGTGTTATTATATTCGGTTTTTTACTTTATTTTTTTTCTTTTCGTGTGAAGTAAATACATTTTCAATTATGAAGTTTTTCCCTTTTTTGTGAACCTCTTACGGTTTGCTTTCATGACATATAGATCCAAACTTTATGACATATCCTTATGATAATATTGTTGTATTTGACAGTTCCTGTAACTAACTATGTCAAGGGCTCTCATTCTCCTCAAGGACTTGGTCAAAGAAAACCAGGTGTGGAAGATGCATATCAGGGTTGTTGACCTCTGGGTTTTTAAGGAGAAGACAGACCACTAACACCTTGAAATGGTCATACAAGATGGACAAGTATGGAAATTGTATACAGTGTGACATTTAGTTTTATAGTTGTGAAAATCATCATTTGGTTCATTTCATTTGTAGTTGTTCTTTTTTACTTAGGCTTTCTTTCATAAAAATCATAACTTTTCCTTATTTGTGTTCTTCTGTGTTTGTGTTATTATATTCGATTTTTTACTGTATTTTTTTTTCTATTTGTGTGAAGCAAATACATTTTCAATTATGAAGTTTTTCCTTTTTTTTGTGAACCTCTTACGATTTGTTTTCATGACATATAGATCCAAACTTTATGACATATCCTTATGCTAATATTGTTGCATTTGACAGTTCCTGTAACTAACTATGTCAAGGGCTACTATTCTCATCAAGGACCTGGTCAAAGGAAACCAGATGTGAAAGATGCATATTAGGGTTGTTGACCTTTGGGTTATTAAGGAGAAGACAAACCACCAACACCTTAAAATGGTCATACAAGATGGACAGGTATGAAAATTGTATAAACTGTGACATTTATGTTTTATAGTTGTGAAAATCATCATTTGATTCATTTTATTTGTAGCTGTTCTTTTTTACTTAGGTTTTCTTTCATAAAAATCATAACATTTTCTTATTTGTGTTTTGTGGATGCTAACTATACCTACTCCAACGCTAGTGTTATTATATTTACATTTTCATTGTTTTTCTTTGCACAATACATGATACGGATGCTAACAGATGCCTTCTTTTACGTTTTTGTTCACCGTTTTTATTTTTTTATTGTTTTTCTGTGCACAATACAAGCTACAGATGCTAACTATACCTTCGTTTGTGTTTCTGTCGTAAATGATGGACCTTTTAAAGTTTGTTCCAACCAACTAAAGCTTACCTTCAAGGGAGGGACTATCGTGAGCAAGATGGAGATACCAGAAATTCCGCCTCACAGATTCATAAGAATTTTTTCCAAAATGTTCTAAAATATATGTCTTATGACTTTTTTGAGTGTAGTTATGCATTTTCTATTAAGATTGATCCTAACTTCAACTACTTAAGTACTTAAGAGACTCATTTATGTTTTTTTCTTATGAATCGATCCGATGATTGTCTATTATGTTACAGTATTATCTATGTTTTGCTTATCCTTGGATTTAGCCACACTGGACAAATCCATGTCTCATGTTTTGTGATGGCCATAAATGACAAATCAACTTTGGCATCAAATTAGATGTGAATAACACATGTTTGCCCATATTCCTGAGCCTATAATTGATGAATAACAAATCATGTAACAATACCTTATATGTTTTTCAACTCTTTCAACTTCTGTCATTTTATTCCACAGTTCAAACAACAAGCAACCCAATTCTTTCAACTAAATTATATTTTTAACAGTTCTTTTAACTCCATGGCTTTAACATTACAACAGCCTTAGTTTAATCCATGTTTTTTAAATTATTCTGTGTGCAAAAAATTTGTGTGTACTTACCGAATTAAACTTACAACTTCCAACTTCCAACTCATATTCTACAGGTGATTAACACTTCAGCACGAAATTGCTATAACTAATTAGGTTTATGAGTTCTTAAAACTATAGATAACAATGCTATTATTCCGCTGTTTTATTGATCTTTTTGGTGTACAGGCATATTAACACATTTAATAATGCAATGTCTCAAATATAATACAATTAACTAAGTAACCAAAAATGTCATTGTCACTTATAAAATTACAAAATACATTTTGATTATGCATTAATAATTCAGAATAATATTTTCTGTTATGGCCATTAATTTATAGCTGCAATGAATTTCGGACATTTTTGGTTTTATTGATTCTCAAGTCAGCTATCAAAATATTATACATTTAACTAAATAACTAAAATTGTCATTGACGTTTATAAACCACGGGTCACTTAAAAATGTCATATTATTTTTTCACTAATTAGTATCAACACTATCTTCTTTTAATCATTTCTTTATTTTTAAATTTTTTTCTTCTCCATATCACAGTCTTTTTTTTTTCTTCTTTTTATATGATTATTTTATATAATTAAATATATATGATTATTGTTTATTTTATAAATAAATAAATTATTTTAAATTTTAAATTTATATTTTAAACTTTACATTTATAATTGTTGATTTCTTTTTATAATTATTTAATATTTAATTTTTTTTATATATAATTGTTTAATGCAGTTCAGTTTCTATAATTATTATTTATTTCAAATTTAATTATATTATATTTACTGTGTATAAATATATTTAATTATATTTATGTCTTTTTCTTTATATGATTAAACTAACAATTTACATTTTTATTATGCAAATTGCTCATAGTTCATTTTATTTATATTATTCATATCTTTCAAAAAATATTACACCATAAAAAAATTCACCCGTTCAGAAACACTGATCTAGTCAAATAAAAATAAAGAGCATTGTCCACCCATTATATGTTTGTACCTGATCAGAATGGATTGTCACAGCAAACGTCGAGCAGAAGTTGAAAGTGAGGTGGGGGTACCTGCAAGACACTCTGATGCCAAAGTGAGATTCAGAATGATGCAAGCAAGTAAGAGTGAGTAAGAAATTATCAACACATGACTCTCTCAAGTGAGAGGGTATTTATATCCTCCAGCGTTAGACCAAGGTCCCCTCATTAGGTTGGGCAAGCCAGCCCAAAGTGGAGATTGTCAGGTTCTACGTGAGTAGTGGGGACCAGCACGTGGTCCCCTACCTGGATGGATTCCTCTGCATGACCAGGAGGATATGGATGCGGTCTTTTCGTGGTCAAGTAGACTCTATGATATTCGGAGGTGTTGATAGTCAGCCCTACAAGGAGGATGCTCGTGGGGTATTCTGCCCGTCGCGCAGGATCCCCGCCAACTATGAGGTCTATGGGAGGATCGGTCTTGCTCGAGGAGAAGCCTGGAGGATACTATTGAGGTCCTCTTGCCCGGTGATGCTCCTTCTCGTATCTTCCTGGGTTCATCTCCATGTGGCGAAGCGGCATCCTCTCGAAGAGCAGGGGTTATTGCTCGACCCAGTCGAGGGCAGATTCAGTCAGCTGGTCATAAACAACATAGTTAGGTTGGGCCTCATATGGACTTAGGCCAAGAGCAGGCCCAGTCCAGAACATGAGCCTCTGAAGTCATTGCTCCTGATAAGGGCGCTATGACTTAAGTCCAATTTTGCTTTTACAAGGAGCATAACTCAACCGGGGATCTTTTATCGTGTTGATGGAAATTATCGTCAGTATGCGTGATTACTCGAGCAGAAGTCGGAATAGGATTGTTGGGGAATGTTCCAGTTGTTCCTCGACTTGTAGGGAGAGAAGAGCTGGCAAGGTGTCTCCACGTGCTGTGACCTTTGGGATCGTAATGATGGCTTAGGGAGTAAGGGCCATTATTACCTGAGCGTGTAGATGTCGAGGAGAAGGGTGGTTAGTGGGATGCCTAACGCGACACTTCGCATTCCACGTCAACTATATATAGCGCCTTAGGGCCCATTTCCCACATTTCGATTTTGCATTCAATTTTTCGCGCTCTCTACTCTCTCTGTTGCCAACACCGTTTGCTTCCTTTCCCAACCGTCAACATCGCAAAGTCTATCGCGTATTCTCCATCTACTTTGTTCAAGTAAGTGTTTCTTGTAGTAATTGTTGTTTAGATTGGATTCATTGATGATTATTTATAGAATTTCGTAACCGGGGGGGTTTGCTCGGGGCGTTAATAAATTCATGTGTAACATTCGCGAATAATCTCATGATATTCATCTGTTCCCCGCAAAATTCATGGATCTGCTCATTGTATTTATCCTTTGCCCGTGTTATCCATGAAACATATGTTCCATTATTATCATCGTTGTGCGATCTTACGACATTTGTATAAGTTCTACGTGTTGATCGTGGGTCATGTATGATCCTCGTTGCTCGAGTCATCGTCGACCTACTATGGGCGTAGCCATCCCCTTTTCATTCGTGTTGCGATGGAGGGGTGGATGTGATTTTATTTTCGAATTCAGTGGTTTCCTCTACTTTACAGGTGAAATAGCTGATACTCCAGAGTCGTTCGAGCATATAAATGTCGAAGAAACAAGTACTGTCGAGGAAGGGCTCCATCTGGTTGACACGGTTGACGACCATGCGCTGTTCTGAGTCGGGCAAGAGCCTCGAGGGATAGCTCCAATTTATATTTATAGCAGAAGGGGAGCTTATACCATCATCGATCATGGCAGCGACATGGAAGGGTTTTGTCGTAACTTTACGATCTTGCGACCAACTCCCACGGCAAGGATATGCATGGAGTTCGAGGAGGATCGCTTCCCGATGTATGAGGTCGTCTTTAAAGACTTGGGGCTTCGTTTTCCCTTCAATGATTTTCAGATGGGCGTGCTTAACCACTTAAACCTAGTACCCTCTTAATTACATCCTAATGCGATCGCCTTCCTCCGGGCTTCCGAAATCACTAGTTGGTTCCTGAGGATCGGAGCGACCAGACCTCTATTTTTCAGGGTTTTCCACCTCTAACAACAATCTAGGGGTGGGAAACATAATTGGGTTTCCTTGAATCAGTCGAAGAGACTGTTTAGGATGTACATAGATTATGTCTGCGACTTCAAGGATAGATGGTATGTCATGCAACCATCGTCTCAGGCGACCATGGATGTCGTATTCGACTCGGTTTAAGTAGTGGATGAAGCGGGGAAGTATGCCTCGATGAGGAGGGAAATCCAGAGATTGGGCGACTTTCGAAGTTCCCTATCCACTGGTGCTCATGTCACTACGAGCACAATCCTAGCCATTACCACACCCCTCCTGGAAGTATGAGTGCCAAGGATGAAGATTCATATGGTATCCTCACTCGATTCGTCGATGGGTTCTTTCCCTCGAGGTGGGTTACGAGGGAAGGACATGACATTCTCGACGAAGATGGAGAACCAATGTTTGAGGCACGCCTGATCAACACCAAGGCACTTGTGGAATGTCGAACCTACGGGTAGGCCATGAACCTTCTAGGTTTCTTATTGCATGATTTGTTGCATTTTTACTTATAAGGATATTTGTTTATGTCCTTCTAACAAGACTAACCCGGGGATATCGTTTTTTTTCACAGGTAACATGGCGCAGCATCGTGAGTGACTGCTGAAGCTCACCCAGGAAAAGAAAAATCACAAGAGGTTGGTGAAGCCGCACCATCCCACACGTCTTGGCCCGGTCTCAAAGTCGGCCAGGGATGGTTCGAGTGGGTCATCGGGCGCCCGTGACACCACACAACCCGCGGTTGTTCTGAGCAAGAAGAGAAGGTCAGAAGGTGGACCTGCAAGTGTAGTCGAGGAGGGGGTAACTTCCCGGGCCTTCAACCTTCCACCTTGTTTTGTGGAAAAGGATTTCTTCCAGGGTTTCCTTCTGACCGTGTCTAATGTTGAGTCTGACATTATCAGATGCCTCGATGAAGAGGGTCGACAGAAGCACCTGGCTTCCGAGATGGTCGATTTAATGAAGGCCGCGGAGATGGTTGTAGTCCTTGCAGGAGAAGGATCTGGCTCCTCTGGATTGGTGAAGGACTTAGAGTCAGAGAAGGCGACTCTTCAGCGAAGACACAAAAGCTAAAAAGTGCCCTCGAGCGGAGCGAGGAGAAGTTTCGTGTGCAGGATGATGAGTTAACGAGGGTGAAAGAAAAAACCACCAAAGCTTATGAGAAAATGGATTCCCTGTTGCTCGAGAGGGAACGGTTAGAAAATGAGGTTTCCAATTTGAAATCTGAAATGTTGCCCATGGACGGAGAGCCTGGAGGAGTCGCGGACTTGCATTCTCGGGCGGAGTTAATTGCTTGGATCCAGATCCTTGAGTCGGATTGTGTTAATGCTTTGACCGGCGGCTTCGGGACTGTCCTGACCCAACTGTATGTTCTGAATTTCGGGCTTAACACTGAAGGTGCTAGGGTATTGTCCCAAGTCATTGATGGTCGTGTGGTTCCCCCTCCTAATTCCCCCGAAGTGGAGGTTGAAGAGAGCACTCCTCGAAGTGACTAGTATTTCTGATATTTTTGTTATTTGT